TAGTAAAGCGACCAAAACGCTGGCTTGCATCCATAGATGCTTCTCAAGCAAATCCCAGAACGTCATTCTCCCCTTGTACTTGGCCTTGGTGAAGCCACAGCTGGAGTACTGTATCCAGTTTTGGGCTCCACAATTCAAAAAGGATGTGGAGAAGCTTGAGAGAGTCCGGAGAAGAGCCACGCGCATGATCAGAGGTCAGGAAAACAGACTGTACAACGACAGGCTGAGAGCCATGGGGCTCTTTAGCCTGGAAAAGTGCAGGCTCAGGGGTGATCTGATGGCCACCTATGTTCATCAGAGGTGACCACCAGTATCTGGGGGAACGTTTGTTCACCAGAGTGCCCCAAGGGATGGCAAGGTCAAACGGTTATAAACTACTGCAAGACTGTTTCAGGCTGGACATAAGGAAGAATTTCTTTACGACTCAATGATCTTCCAAGGTCCCTTCCAGCCCTAATGTCTATGAAATCTATGAAAAAAAAAAACCCTGAACTCACCGGCTCCCGCAGCCACCTCAGGGCTCTGGGGGCTCATGAAGAGTCCCCATGTGGCGTGGGGCAGTGGGGATTGACTCCACCAGGCAGGAACCAGTGAGTTTGAGGGTTTTTGGTATTTTTTTCTTAAAGGGCTAGAGCTAGGGTGGGCGGGGCAGCCATAGTAGGGCTGGGACAACAGGCGAGAGGGTCGGGGGGCTCATACAGAGCCCCCCATGCAGCATGGGGCAGTGGGGGACAGCGTGGATCACCCCCCCACCCAGCAGCACCCAGTGAGTCAGGATTTTTTTTTTTCCAAAGTGCCAGGAGCTGGGGCTGGCAGGGCAGCCACTGCCAGGCTGGGAGAGCAGGTAGGGGATGGGCCTGGGTGATTCAGAGAGTCGATCAGCCGAATTGATTCAGGACAGTGACTTGAATCACCAAATCAAATCACTGTCCCCCGAATCAGCCATATCTGAATCCGAAGTGAATACTACCCGCTTCGCACAGGTCTATCTATCGTTCTTGTCTCAGCTCTGTACAGTAAAGTTGGGATCACAAGTGCTTGATAAACCATTAGCTCTGTTTTGGATCTGATATTGCAACATTCACCCATTTCCTCAGGCATATGAAGGCTACACTTGCACATCTGAGGTGATGTTGGATTTCTGTGAGACATGGCTTCTGAGCTACAGGAAATAACATTCTCCAGAGTCTCACTATGAATCTGAATTACCAGAGGTGGGGACTGCTCATTAAGAGCTTGCTGATTGGGGGTCTTCATCTTCTGAATGTTAACCATCAGTCTCATTTTCTTGTATGCCTTGGTAAAAACATTGATGATTGCCTGAAGGTCTGCTTCTGAGTTAGCATGCATTACAGCACAGTACAGCAAACTGGAGCTCGATGACTGAAGTCAGGATGGTCTTGGTTTTGGCTCGCTGAGATTAAACAGCTTACTACGCATTTGGTAGTTTAGTTTCATTCCAACTGGAAGCCTGTTGATGGTAAGATGTAGCATCACGATAAGGAATATCAAGAATTTTGGAGTGATGAAGCAGTCTTGCTTATCTCCCATCTTAACCTCAAAAGGATCTGTGATAGATCTGTTACTGAGAATCACCGCTTACATACCTTCAAGAAGCAGGCAGAAAATGGTGATGAATTTCAGTGGACATCTATACTTCAGAAGGATCTTCTACAGTGCTTCTCTGCTGATAGAGTCAAAGACTTTCATGAAGTCAAAGAAGGCCATGTAGAGAGATTTGTGTTGTTCTTGGCACTTTTCCTGCAGCCGGTGAGCTGTGAAGATCCTATCAGTTGTACCTCTTGATGCCCTAAACCTACACTGAGATTCTGAGAGGAACTCTTCAGAAAGTGGAAGGAGATAGTTCAGGAGGGTTCTCACAACGATCTTTCCTGTGGTGGACAGCAACTAAATTTTAGTTGAATTTTTATGAAACATAGTTGAAATTTTATTAAACTAAAAATGGCAATTTCTTAATCACAAGAAAATACTGGGCATGTCTCCATCTGAAAATACTCAAGGCTGCATTTACTTTAGAGTAATTTACTGTAGAGTAAAACCACTCTGGGCAGGCATCTACACATGTGGTGGGCGAGGCAGGAGCAGATTTGCTGCCCCTGGCAGCAGTCTCCTCCCATCCCCTCTGGCCCTGGCACCAGCCCCCCGCACCAGTCAGGGGGAGCTCTAGACTCCCCCTGGGTGCTAGCCCAGGGACTGTCAGGGAGCACAGGGCCAGAACACAGATATCTCCTGGCAGGGGCTGGGAGATTACTTCCAGCCCCTGGAAGCTGCCTGTTGCCAGGGTGGGCTCTGGTGGCGGAACTCAGGCAGAGACAATGTCCCCTTGCCCCAGCAGCAGGGAGCTCCCAGCTCCCCAGTCAGAGGCTTAGAAAGAGCTGCAGGGGAGGGGCAGGCCCTAGCTCCCTGCCCCATCCACTGAAATGGAACAGTCCCCATCCATCTCCAGGCTGCATGTACAGATGTCTTTATGTACAGGCATCTCTGTGCAGCCTGGGACTGTCCAGGAACTGTCCCTGTCAGGGGCAGGTTGCAGCCAGCTCCAGGCTGGGATGGGAACTCTTCCCATTCAGAACGGGGGTAGGAGCTTGTTCCCAGCCCCCGCTCAGTGATCATGATTGTGGAATAGGGGCTGGGAGCACCCTGCTGCTGGGACAGGGGGACATTGTCCCCACCCAGGCTCCAGTGGCAGAGCCCATCCCAGCAGTGGACAGCTCCCAGGGACAGGGAGCAATCTCCTGCCCCCTGCTGCCGAGCTGACCAGGAGCAAATTTGCTCCCAGTTGACCATCTACACATGCCGTACTGTGCAGTAATTACTCAGCAGTTAATTTGCTACTTGCATTTGCAGGTAGCAAATTAATTGCCAAGTAAAGGAATTACTGTGCAGTAAGGGTCAGCACATATAGACGGTGACACTTACTATGCAGTAATTAGCTCTACTGTGCCATAAAGTGTCTTGTTTAGACTCACCCACTAAGGATCAGTTCTGATTAAAGAGTTTTTAGTGTTGGTTACTCCAGTTAACCTTACATTGCCAACACAGGTCATAAGATGGAAGCCAAATTCTATTTCATTTTTATTGACAGAACTACCTACAGAGTTCCAACCAGTTATCTGCCTAGGCTGTTATCTTGCATTTTCTCCTACTAGCCTGGGTTTCCCTAGTCTATCATCTCCTGGCCTACCCTTCTTACAAAAGGACTCTTTCCTCTGAAGTACGTGAGATTGGCTAGTGCTGGAGACAGAATAATGGGCTACTTGTTTCACTAGTTTAATTCAATGTGGTGATTCTTATTTGTAAAACCATGTGTACAGTACCAGGCATCACTGCAGGGCAGAATCTGAAGACAGTGGGATTACTTGTATGATAAACACGTATTGTTCAACCAGAGTTTAGATTTTTTTCCATTTCACCATCACCAGTAATAAAGGTTCAGCTAAACCTGAGCAACCTCACTGCGTTCAGAGTAAGTCTGCAGCAATACACATGCAACTCCACTATAAACAATTCACACATTCCTTAATCTATATTCCCCTGAAAGCAGCAATTATTCTAATTCTCAGCAACCCTCCACAAACTTTCTGGGTTATGTAGGAATCTGTTTATTGGGCTATTTTGGTTTAGATAAATGTATTTATCTATTCATTATATACATGATATCTTTTCTTTTTGATTCAGGGGAAAAGAAGGAATATTCTATTATATTCTAGGAACATAATTATATTCTGAATTAGCCATAGTGCATTGTTTCCTATGTAACCAGAGGAGAAGAAATACAAGACCTGTAAATATATTTCTTAAATCTATACAAAGACAATAAACAGGAAGTAGCACTAATAACATGATTTCTTTAATAAAATGGCTAACATGCCAGCACATATTCTAGAGCCATTGTGAAACCATCTCCTCCTTCCCCTCCAATTAAATATATTTTCCTTAAAAATAATTCTGTCCACATGAACCATTCCCTATCTCCTTGTGACACTAATTGTTATTGTTTCTATTATTGTACAGTGCAGAGGGACATGAAGAAGGTGGAGAGTTGGATTTTAGTGCCTTACTGAAAAAGAGGTAAGTAAAATCGTCAGTCTGTGAGCAATAAATTATCCAGCTCCTGTAGAACAGCTTCGGAAGATACTAAAATTAGAATACATTGAAGTTCCACGAACTCAGAATTGTGACTGTGTTCTTTAAAATAGCTCCAGCTGAGAGAAACTAAAGCAATAGATTTATGAATTCTCCAAAGTCTATTGCACCCTAGTATTCTTTACTGCATCTTCAGGCCACGTCTTCACAAATCAAAAACTTACTTTTTATAAGATAGAAAAAAATACAGCCTTACAGCCTGGGACTAGAGTAGTTGTGCGCTTTATCTACCGCCTTCTGTTGGAGAAAATTAAGTACAGTATAGAAAAAAATGACTTCTAGAGGTAGTACTTGCCTGGAATGTCATCTTCTAAACTGTCAGTGGGCCTGGAGAGCTAGGGAAATCAAAAGTTTATTCTGTATATTATAGGCAATTCTAACTCCTCCAGTTCTGGTTCCCAATTTATACTTTCTTTTCATTTCATGGCATCTACTCTTCTTTCTCTGGTCCTTCATGGCCTTCTTTTGATCCAATTACTTGTGCTTCATCGTTTTATTCTCCTTGTCAATCTAAATGCAATGGTTCGGATTCTATTCCTGCAACAGAGAGTAAGATTTCTATTTCATCTCATATACTGCATGAAGGAGACTGAATATAAGGTCCACATGTTTTGAATAATGCATGAGTCTCTTTTTCTCTCACATGTTGAGCATGGCAAATGCCCTGGATTCAGGCAATTTGAGAGAGAGTTATCACCTACTGATTTCTAACTGAGAAGTGCTTTTAAACAGCTACAGCATTCAGAAGGCGTGCATTCAAATCACGTATTTTCCTCAGCTTTTTTGTTTTTCCACCATCCTACTCCTTTAAAGGCATTATCAAATTATGCTTGGGTTTCCAATCATAATTTTCTTCACAATACAAGGCTTTACGTTCTTCCATATACTTACACCACTCTTACAGAAATCAGAGATGGAAAGACTTCTTTGGTCACAGTTATTCCATTCTCCTACTATAGAAACTAATCCTTTTAATATATATTGCAGGGTTTTGACCAGACTCTCTAAATTTCTAAGTAATGAACCTTCTAATACTCTACAATACTAATAGATATATCTGTTAGAAAATATCTTGTAATCCAATTAAATATTCCTTTGCTCATCTTCATCTCATTACTGCTAGACAGAGTACTCTGTATACAGTGCACATTTCCTTTCCCTTATTCTCTACTATTGTCAGCTTATTACTGACAAATGACCTAAGTTGCTGTTTTGCCAAGTATATTTATCTTGGACTGAAGGATGAAGAGCGTAACTTTATAATGTCCCTACAGAGACTCCAGCTGGGAGAGGAAAGAAATGCAATAATAGAACCTTCCTACTTACATGGTGATCATGCAGCAGAGTCAGATAAAAAAAAAAAAGGTGGGGGAAAGGGAAGCCAGAGGGGGAGGGAAAAACCCCATGCTCTCAAGAATTGTTGGCACACTGGTGTAAATATTCACTACTGTGATTTAGGAAAGCTTGTAACTTTTGCTTTTTATTCCATTTTAAAAACTAAAAAGGATTAAAGGCATCATTAAGCCTTTTCTCAAAGTAAAAATATTCTCTTTGGCAAACAAAACTGGAGAAAGCAACATATTGAGGAACTGTCTAGAGATGCAGAGAGGTAGAATGCAGGGATCACTTCTTTTGTTACTTCCTTCAGTTTCTGTCTTGCCTTTCCCAGCAAGCACTCCTGTGCCCAGATAATGCATACATGGAGAAAACTGCATTTTAACACTGTATTTTCTGGCTACTGTACATTAATTGGCTGGTGCAGACAGACAGGGGTCAAAGGCCAAGGAAAGGGCATGCATTGGGAAAGGGAAGGGAACAGTTGACACGGTAATATGAAATAGGATAGTGGTGACATACAGGTGTCAAAGGCCAAGGAAAGGGCATGCATTGGGAAAGGGAAGGGAACAGTTGACACGGTAATATGAAATAGGATAGTGGTGATAGACCTTGAAGGAGGTGACAGCTGACAGAGTCCAATCAATCTGTGGTAATGGGATAGGAAGGAACCACCTCTGCAATGTACAAAACTATTTTTAATCCCCCCACACATGTTTAAAACATTTCAGCTGCCTTTTCTGTTTACAACAGATTCAGTGAACTGCATCTTAATGTCCCCAGGTGCATAGTTAACCTATGAGATGTTCCCTCCAGATAAAACCTCCAAAATCAGGGTGAGTAACGTAAGGATAGGAGAAACTTTAGAAGCCCACGTTCCCTGATTTTCTTCCTACAGTGCTTACCCAGGGAGGGTGTCCCTATTGGCAGGGGGGAGAAAGCAGTTCATTTATGTGAACACCATAAAGCTTATTAGAACTAGGAGAATGTTTTAACCAAGTTAAAGTGGTGACAGGATGGAGAAACATGCAGCCCAGGACTTGTTGGTAGAGAGAGAAATATTTCCCAGTTCCCTGCATTCAACTCAACATGAATTAAATCATGAACCTCAGCTGTAAAATATCATATTTTAGTCTGTAGTAGCAATTTAGAAGCAAAGAAAATTAAGAAATATTAGCTACTTACAAACAAGGCTGACAGTACAGTCTTGGGAATATTCTGGTCTCATATTTTAGTTCATATAAAGATGGATTTAGGGAGGGCTTACTGCATATTTTGGGATGCACAGATGTATGTTTTGTATTCAAGTTAAACGCACTTTTTGGTTGAGTAGGTGATACCCATTGCCTAAAAGTAATAGTCTTGTAAGAGCTAGGAGAAGATCTCATGGGTCTTTTGAGATTCTGGCTAGTATTATTCGTCCTAAAGAATCAGTGTATTTGACCATATACAAAACACAGAAAAAGTTAAAGGGCCAAATTATCTACTGCTATAAATAAGTGATACTCTATTGATTTCCAAAGCATTTTGCCCATTTACAGTAGTAAGGGATTTGGCCCACAGACTTCATCCTATAAATATTATACTGAAATATTACTGAACAGAGAAAATGAACGGCCATACAAAGGATATGCAGTTTTGAAAGGTTAAAATGGTTTAACATTTAAGAAAGGTTGTTTAGTAATTTGCACAGGTATGAAAAAGTTCCAGTCTAGAGAATAAGGTTATATAGTACACATGTATCAGGAAATAATACAAGAAATGGCTTGGCTAAGTAATGACTGAGGAAAGTAAAATAATCCTCTAAAATTTCTAAGTGAAGTAAACACTAAAGATAGAAGTTTTTTCATGTGCTCCGACAGAGGATAACTAGAAATAATAATGGGATGAAACTGAGCAATGGAAAATTTGACATGAATGTTAAGGAAATCTGTTTGGTAGTGAGATATATTAGGTTATGGAAGACTTATCTCATGATGAATGTAAAAATAACCTAGATAAATAATTTAAGTATGTTTTGAATAATCCTATCCTAAACTTTCAATTGGAAGGTATAAATATGTTGAGCATGGAAAGAAAATTAGATTTGACCTGATAAGCCTTTCCCATCTTTTGTGATTCTATACTTACTTTTGAGCTACGGTTTCTTCCTCAGTATTTCCTTGCTTCAATTCAGACCTTACAACTCAAGTAGGAAATCTGCATGTAGCTAGTATTATAAAAGGTGCTTGTGAACTAGGTGAGGGTGCTCTACCAGGAAGAAATACAAGTCACTTTGCAAACACACAAGAAGCTGATAAAAAATATGTAATGGGGAGGGTGTCTAGACAAGGCAGACATATTCTTATGGGGAAGCATATTCACTGTGTCTATATTTCTTAGAAAGACTTCTAGCTTGAGATCCAGCTAGCCCTTCTGTAATAGATGATGACAAACCATCCTAAAGAGCAATTTTCTAAGTTAAAGTTTTTAAGTGCTATGTCCCCACTCCAAATGACTGAAGCACCACCCTCAAAGATGGGCATTGATGCTGAAACCCTGATGATTTGTTTCAGCACTATAATAGTAGCATTCTTGTTACAAACACCTTTCTAGGAGAAACAGTGGAATATTAGACCCATGTGCTTTAATCTACCGTGGATGCATGTACACAAGATTTTTACTGTGGAGCTGACTAACTAGCTCTGTAGTAAAGCATCAGCATGTGCACATGCAGTCCTATTAGGCCAGGGTAAACTAATGAATCCACAGTAGGATAGTATTGCCCATACAAGTTCCAGCCTACAGCAAAATTATTTATTCTGCTGCAATGTACATGTAGATGCTGACCGGGGCTGGCTGGGGCATGAGGGCATTGGTGATATATAGGGGGTGCATGCAGCTGCATATACATCCCCTGAAATTGGCTGTACACCCCTTGAGACTGGCTGCCACCGCCGGTGCTGATGACATCTGCAGGCAGTCACTGCTTGCCAGCCCCCCACCACCACTGACACTGTCGGTGGCATCTGAGGGAGGTTGCTGACCACTGGTCAGCGCTTGCTACTCGTCGTCCCCCCCCACCCCCACCCCTGGCCCCCAACACCACTGCAGCTGTCTGCGGGCAGTCCCCGCTTTGCCCACCCTCACCACTGACATCAGCGCAGCCGCCTGTGGGCAGTCCCCACTTGCTGCTGCCACACCCCAGCTGTCACAACCGCCACTGCTGCCGCTGCCTACGGCCAGTCGCTGTGCCCTATTAGCCTCGAGAGGCATGAGACATTCATGCATGAGGGAGCTACAGTATGGGGCTCCCTACCAGCTAGCCCTGCACTGTAGCACCTTCATGCCCCAGCCAGTCCCTATGCAGCATGTTGAGCTGGGTCGGAGCAGCCCCAGACTGGTTGGCTGACTGCCGGGGCCCCCTGCCAGCCAGGGCTGTTCCACCTTGGTTCTTTGTGCTGCGATCCTGGATGCACATACAAATGCCACGTCTGGGAACAATAAACTCCAGTGCTAACTGTACCAGAGTTTCTTGTGTCAAATTAATTTCACATGTAGATGCACCCTGTACAAACTAACTCCATTCATCCTGCATGCTCCTTGCATGAAGTGACATTTCGTACATAAACTAACAAGAATCATTCTTTCTCTGTAGACATTTGTAGTGGTATACACCTGCAAAGGAAAAGAAAATCACATAATCCTCTAAGTTTCCTTGCACTGCCTGATGCATAGCTTATGCGTGATTAGTTGGATGGGGTTCATCAGTGAAGATTGCCTTGGTAAAAGGGGCATTCTGTTACATTGGATTCTTGTTCCTAGTGATATCAGAAACAATCCCTACAAGAAATGTTAAGAAGTCATGGTTTATCTGGGAGATGGTAGAGCCTATACTTTATGTCATGCCTCCTTCTCCCTTCACAGAGTTTACCACAGCCTCTCTTTTTCATGGGAAATCCACTGACAGTAATGCCAGGCAGTAATCCTACTTTTTTGGATAAGCATGGGACAATAAACAGTTCCCAGCAGGAGGCATAAGCTGGTATTTATATCTAAAATATAAAACATGAGATAGAATTCTGGAGTGTGAGAATGAAGCCAATTTCCCTAAGAATGGCATCACTCCGAGAACATATTTCAGTGCAATAGATCTTTCATGACACTGCTGCTCAAGTGCAGACTAGTGTTTTAATGGTGAAGATGATGATGGTTCTGTTGTATTAACACATGCTGCCCTTTCTCCTGTCCATTGGGATGCTGCATGCTTTTCCAAATGCTTCTCTGCATCATTCTCGAGTCCAGCAGCTTCTTGCGCTCAGTAAATAGGTAAGATTTTAATCAATCTCTTTTTCTTTTAGTGGACTTTCATAATGATAAATTTTAACAGAAGTAGAAAGTTTCCTGCAACAGATCAGACTAATTCTCACTCTGGTCTTGGTCCACCAAAGTGTATTCTCCTGCGATAACCAGCTCTTTAGACCAGTGGTTCTCAAACTTCTTTTTTCGCGGACCACTTGAAAATTGCTAAGGGTCTCGGCAGACCACTTAATAAACTTGTTTTTGTTCTACAAATCAAAGCACACAACTCATATTTTAATATGAGTAGTCTTACTTACAAGTACAGATATTCTCAATTGTTCTGCAACCTTTCTGCGGGCCACCTGAATGGAGCTTGCGGACCAGTGGCGGTCCACGGACCACAGTTTGAGAACCTCTGGTCTAGACAATCCACAAGCTAAAGAGCCCATTGTAAATACTGTTTTTACTGTCCTGCTAGCTGGTATCTCCCAATATAAGTATCTCTGAATTCTAAGATTTTATTATAGATAACTTCCCATCACAAATGGCCACGTTCTTCAGACAACCCACAATTCACTTTAAACAAGAGAGAATAATCTTGAGAAACAGACTGATTTCTTAAAGCCATAATACCAACAATCAGAATTGGAAAAGATGACCAGTCTTGTGGATAAGCTAAATACTATCTTGGGACTCAGAAGATCCAGGCTAGCTTTCCTGATTTCCCACAGATTACTTGTGTGATCTTAGAAAAGGCAATCTCTCTGTGCTTCAGGTCTCCATCTTTAAAATGGGGATAATACTTCATATATCCAGCTTGTCTATTTAAAGTGTAAACTCTTCAGGACATGGACTCTATATTAATATGCATATGTGTATCCTATAGCACAATTAGGCCTTGAACTCTAAGCATTTTAGTAAGTCTAAGCATTACTGTACTAAAAATAAGTATATAGCTATTATGGAGGAATTGCTTCGTTCAACCAAAACATAGTTTGCCAAGCTAAATCCTGTTTTGAAACCCTTTCTAGTGTGACATTAACTTTCTAATCCTGTCAGAACTGAGGCAAAAACTGAATCACAGCCCAGTGTTGATGTCTGGGAAATCCTGAGGAAAGCCCCTCCTTCTGAGTATGAGAAAATTGCTTTCCAGTATGGGATCACAGACCTGAGGGGGTTGCTGAAACGACTCAAACGCATGAAGAAGGAGGAGAAGAAAAGTACAGGTTGGCAAGTTGTATTTGTAGGACTGTAGCTATAGCTGGGTGACAGAGGTGCCAGCCCTGGGTGCCCATTTAGAGGGGATGCCAGAATGGAGGCCCCTTAGGAGCTCACGCTGCAGCAGCCAGAGCATGATGAGCCTGTGCCATGGCAAATACGATTCTACCTCCAATCCCCAGTTCTCTGGCACTTGGCACAATACCACACACACACACACACACACACACTGCCCAGAGCAACAAAATAGCAAGCTATACCTCCGTGTATTTCTTCCAAAAATACCGTACTTTCTCACTTACTACATACCCTGACCATTGCTGCCCAGCCAAAAGCTACAGTTTTTAGCCTTTCACAGCTACTGCCCAAAATGGCAGCAGGTTTTGGCTGCGGTGCCAAAAGCTACTGACAATTCAGCAACAGTTGTGAAAAAACTTAAAATAACTGTGATGCTACAGAGTTTACTCTCACCATCCCTCCCTTCCTGGCTAGGAGAGAAGAACAGCCGCAGCAGCCATTACAGCTTCCTTATGCTTGAAATCTGGTGCAGAAATCAGCTTCCCTGCTTAAGATATACAACCCAGTTTTGGAGGGCTAATTTTTGGCCAAGGGTCTGTGTAGTATGTGAATAAATATGTCTTCATTTTGCTGTTCATGAATGCCCCATCATCAGCTGGGCAATGGCAAAGTACAGGCGAAGGGAAAAAGAAATATGATAAAACTAGCTTTCCCAACTTTTCTATGATCTTGTATACCCAAGATGCCTGTTGCCAAAGATCAGACTGATACTAGGTGCTCTGGACTGCCTTATTCCTGACCCTTGAAAGCTATATAAATCCTCCATTTTGCTAACTGCCCCCAATTACTGTGATAAGACTCTGGGATTGTCTTCGTCTCTGGCTTTAAAAAAGGCTGGTTAATTTTGGTAAATAAAAATTTCCCAAGGTATGGATAGGCACTTTTTTTTTTTTAAGGAAAATTTTTCGTGTCCCAGGTCAAACAAGCCAGATCAGGTCCAAATCTGTTTGAATCATTCATGAACCACTTGGGGACCTATTACCAGCAAGTATTCTCCACCCCACCCTGGGACTTCAGATACTTCCAAATCCTTCAGCAGGCATCCTACATGCAGTCCCACGCCCGGAGTCTTGGGGTTTGGACGCCCCTGAGTTTCACTTGCCCTCAGCTGTATGGCTGCGGGAGCAAGCTAGGGAGAAGTCTCCCATTTCCATAAAGTCAGCATGTAGCCAAGATCCTCCCACTGGAAGCTGGCCAGTGGGAAGCTAACTATGAGGCTCTTGTAGGGAGTCCTGTCTGCAAGCAGACAAGAGTGCACCCTCCACTACACAAAGCCACTGGTAAGGCACCTACTTGGTCAGGTACTTCCCCTTGCCACCTTCATGGTCATGGTATTTCCCCTGCCAGGTAAGTATGGTGCTAGTACCTCAGCACTATGTAGCAGTATGGCATGATGTACCATATAGTGCTGTGGGGGTGCACAGGCATTCCAGCCCCCTGGCTGGAGAGCTACAAAGTCACCTCAAAGGCAAGCTCCCCATCTGGGTGTCTCTCTGCCCCCTGAGGAGCCTAAGCACTGATAACCTGCATTCTCTTTTGCTAGGAAAAGGGTCAGGCATCAATAATCAACCCCTACCTTTTCACCCCCGCCACTTCCATAGTGTCATTGTCACTTCCAGAGTCCCAGTGCTTGCAGCAGTGAGAGGAATTCCCACACCCTAACCTTCCCTCCCTGTCCCCCCCACCCACTGATCAGCTGATTGCCAGAGCTAGGGAGAGCCACCTCTGGGAATTACTGTCACTTTAACAGCCCTGGAAAGAGCTGGGACTCAGTAGCAGCAGAGTCCCAACAGGGCTCCCTGACAGCTTGCAGCTGTGTAGGCTGTCAGGGAGCTGGTCACTCTCCCTTCCTCCCTCCCTATTGGAGGTGGCCTTGAGACTCCTGTAGTGCCATTACAAATAGTGCTAGAAAACTGAAAAGTTCCTCTTCGAAAAAGGTACTGTTTTGTGGCACTTTCATTCTTTGTAGCACTACAAACAGCTTTACCAGCTGTACATTCAATTTCTGTAGCATTCATAGGCGCCAACCCAATGGGTATGCTGGGGCTCAAGCACCCACTGAAAAAAATTAGTGGGTGCACAGACCCCATGGCGTCACACTTGCAGATGTTAAAAAAAAAAAAAAAAAAAGGGGGCGGGGGCTTTACCAGAAGCAGCAGTGTATTACTTCAACACGGCTCTGCAGTGCCTGTAAAGATCAGGCACTTCAGCAGGGCTTTTTGGTACTTCTGGCTAAAGCTGATTCAATCCGCTATTAGGCAAAAGTGATAAAAAAGCCCCACTAAAGTGCTCAGTCTTTACAGATGCTGCAGAGCCAGGTTGAAGTAACCTCTTCTGGGCATGCACAGGGCTCAGCATGGGAAAGTTAAAAGTAAAGCACCATGTTTAGGGGGAGTGCACATCTGCAAGCACCCACCAACAAAAAACAAAATCAGTGCCTATGTTATCATTACAAAGGCATATTTAGTACTACAGATGTAATGCCTATCCATAGCCTCAGAAACACTATAGGCACCACTCCTTAATAATTTTTTTGAATCTTTTCTAGATTAGAATTTAAAGATGATATGTTAGTATGTGTTAGTTAACTTGAGTTAGCTAATACATTTTAATGTATAGTGCTGAAGGCACAGTGTTTATAGATACTAAATAATTAAAGAGAAAGCCTAGAAGGTACCTTAAGCTTTAACTCAGCCAGCTCAGGCCACATGAAAGTACAACTGGGTGTATCTACACTTGAAGTTACTGTGTAGTAATAAACTCCAGGATAGTTCATGCCAGAGTTTATTGTTCCTGGGTGCAGTGTCCTCACATGCGCCTGGGACTGCAGCACATTGAGCTGGGGTGATGCAGCCCCAGCTAGCAGAGGGCCCAGGGGGTCAGCCTGCCAGCCCAGAGCTGCTCTGACCAGGCTCAGTGTGCTGTAGAGGGGCTGGCTGGAGCACAAGTGTGCTACAGTGTGGAGCTAGCAAGCAGGTAGTCCCCACACTGAAGCACCCTCATGCCCCATCCAACCTTGTTCCCATCTACACATGTTGCGGCAGCGCTATTTACTCCACCATAGTATAGTACTTGTGTAAGCTGTGGCAGCCCAGTAGGGGGGCACTACTACGCAGAGCCACCCACCTCACTGTACCAGGCCCAAAACCATGCTTCGGGAGTCTCCCCTGGGGATCCTGTGTCTAGCCATCCCCTTTCCTGGAGAAAACCCAAAAGCCTGGGGTAACACTGCCACCACCTAGGCAGTGGTCTCTGGTATGGCTCTGTGTAGCCCAGGGTACACAGACACTGCAAGCCTTAGGAGTCCTTTGCCCACAGTAATATTTTGGGGTGATTCTTTCCGCCTGAAGCATCCAAAGATAGCCTGCTGTACTGGAGAAAAGTAAATAGCCAAGCCAACCTTAGCCAGCTGTGCCAAGGGAGAGAAAAGACCTGTCTCTCCCCTAAGGAATTTACAGCCAGGCATACTGTAACCTGATCATTTTATTGATCAGGGGAAGAGAGTTGGGGGTAGAACAAAAGGAGTTTAAAAAAAAACAAACCACTTTGAGCAAACACAAATTTGAGTCTTTACAGGGATTGGGTTTTGGGACCTTTTTAATATGCTTCTGAATTACTTAGGCCTAATCTACTAGCTAGATTCCAGATTTCTACTTAGGCAGACAAGGTTCCTTGGGTGAATTTGATATCTTTTATTAGACCAACCCAAATGGTTGGAGAATAGTTATTAAGCAAGCTTTCAGGTTCAAAAACCCTTCGGCAGGCTAAGGAAGCTTCAGCAGTTGGTGTTTACACATTCATCCAGAGATTCTCTGAAGGCTCATGGCTTCTATGTTCCCAAAATGCCACCTGAAGGAGGAGAGAGAGTTCTCCATCCCCTCAGGAATTTTTACAGCTTGGTCCAGGTTGTATCAAATGGTAGCAGCCACAGTGAAAAACAGAGGGGTAGCTGGAATGTTGCAATCCAGGGACAGACAGAGAGGGATTTCTTCACATAAGGCAACATCACATCTTTTATCTTAGTTTAGCTAAGGCCAGAGAATCATAGAAAAGATGTAGCGGGAACACTGTGGGAACAAAAAATAGAAAAAAAACAAATGGGGTGATATGAATTGAACAGAATTAATTAGGTCTTGAATCAATAGAAAAGGCTATAAATGCAAGGGAAAAAAATGTGGAGAAGAAAAGTTATTAAAGTAGCCCATTTGTAACCCTTCTTTATTTTAGCATTCCTCAAGAAACTGGATCCTGCTTACCAAGTGGACAAAGGACAGAAAATCAAATTTACGGTGGATGTTGCCAACCCAGATGCTGATGTGAAATGGCTAAAGAATGGGCAGGAGATCCAAGTTAGTGGCAGGTAAATTAGGAAAAGACAGCTCAGAAATCCAAATTGAAACAAATAGAAAACCTAACCATCTTCAAGAAGAGATGGTCAATAGAAATGACAAAAGAAGAGGAAGGCCAGAAGGGGAAAGGGAAAATACACAAAGATTTATATGGGTGCCAAGATTGATGGCTTGTTAACATTTGAAATGACTTTTTAGTTCACAGTTCTCATCATTGTTTTTTCTTCCCTTCCTCTCATGTTCTCACTTTTTGTACATGGAATTTAACACAACCATCTGTCTGCTCAGCAAGTAAGTCCTCTGATTATACATTCTCATTTCTATAATTTTGGGGGGGATCCAGTAAGCTTTCCCTTCTTGTGTCAGATGTACCTGCATTATAAGACCAACCTGAAGTGATTTTGTGCATGAGTTCTGATGGGGCCACATGGTGAAAATATGTTCTTAATGACTGGCATTTAAGCATAATATTGTTCAACTATCTCCTTTGTATGAACATTTCTTTGTAAACCCCTCCCTCAAGCTTACACTGTTCAAGTGGATAACTGTCTTTAAAACTCCTCCTCTCCCTTCTACCAGAACAGGGATGCTTGGCTACTGCCTTCACCCACATCAGATAGGGCAGCTCATGATAAATCATTCTTCTTCTCAGCCATGCATGGAGAAAGGTGGCTAGTTCTAAGGGACAGACTCCATGCTCATTATACTTAGTTTCTATTTACATTTCTTCAGATATATTTTTGAGGCTGTTGGGAATAAAAGGATTCTGACTATCAATCACTGCTCCCTGGCTGATGATGCAGCATATCAATGTGTGATAGGTGAGGAGAAGAGCTTCACAGAACTATTTGTCAGAGGTGAGTGACTGCCAGGTGGAGGTGCAGATCTACTTTACCCCCATTTACTAGTATTTCCTGTTTCTGAGCATTGTTAAATCTTAGAGAGAAGAAAATAAACAGTCCAGTGAGATTAGTGGGAGTTGAGGGCTTCTTCATATGTTAAGATTCATTGTTTCAGGAAGCAGATTCAGAAAGACAAAACTCTACTGCTTATAGGTGGCTCACATCTGGAAGGCTGTTTTCTGAAAAATGATGACTACAAAGTTACTAAAAATGGAAACTTAGAGCCTGCAGAAGCTGAAAATGTCAGGCAAACTATATAAACACATCAATTTAGAGTTTAGATTTAAGAAAAATGATCAACACATCATATTTACTCTCTTTTATAAATCAAGAACAAAGTAGTCTATGAATAAAATTAATGATGTAATCTGGCACAACAAATTTTATGTTCCTATTGGACATTGGCAGATGTTGTGCAAGGGATGGAATTAATTCACCATAGTTGCTGTGGGAATAAAACTATCTCCCCTCAGATTACTGCCTCTTTCCCTGCTGAGATGGAAGGGAAGTGATGGGGCTCTTAGCCATCCTTTCTGTTCTACTCTTCAGACTCTTGCTTACAATAGACTTGTTCACTTCCAGAGCCTCCAGTCCTGATCATCCACCCACTGGAGGACCAAATGGTGATGGTTGGAGAAAGAGTGGAGTTTGAGTGTGAAGTGTCCGAGGAAGGGGCTACTGTGAAATGGTAAAGAGAATGTAAAAAAATAAGTGATTCCTGGTGTACACTTTTCTGTGGGGCACACTGGGACCATTAGCATTATTATCATGAAGGGGTGTTCAAAATGAAAGGATAGGGACCATCCAACTCAATGCCAAGTGGAGAGGGGCTATTGTAGGCTTATGTACCCAACTGTCTACATTATTTTGAGAGAGAAAGGAAGGAAGGTAGGCAGGCTCCATAAACCCACAGGGTGATTAGCTGGGAAGATGTCAGAACTGATCATAAAACAATAAATGACATGAGGGATGTTTTGTGTGTCCAGATCTTCCTGTTCTTTCACTTAGGGATTCTGCTGATATATTTGTTTTAGTATTTTTTTAGATGATTGTCTTTAGTGAAAGGACTACTATTGTATTTATCTACTTATTTTATTTATTTATTTAAGGTATATTCCACCTTTCCCAACATGGCTCAGGGCAGCATAAAGATAGCAATATGAGAACAGAATACTCACAAAACAGGGAAAAGAAAAAACAACTTAAATGGGAACTAGATTATCAAAGTAAGACAGAGACTCACAGTGGGAGTCTGTTTAGGGATTACTTCAGCCTAGCTTTGTTTGCTAAATGCTTGGCCAAAACAGGAATGTCTTACAGTGCTTGCAAAAGACATCCAGGCTTGGGCTCTGGTAAACCTCAAAAGGGAAGGAGTTCCAGAGCTGAGGAGCAACTCTTGAAAATGACCTCTGCCAAGTTTTTATAAAGTGCACTTAGAATACTGATGGCACATGCTGAAGGTTGCTTTTGGCTGACCTCAGGGATCACAAAAGGGGAATCAGAAAGAAGGTGATCCCTCAAGTATATAGACAATTTAGAGCAAGGATAGGCAACCCCTGGTATGTGTGCCAATTAGTGGCACACAGAGACATTTTCCTCTGCACGCCAGGAGGTGTGCTGAGCAAAATGTTTTAATTTTTTTTTTTTTTTTTTTAAGGTGCTGCTCTGGGCTCGCTGGAGCAGCTGCAGGTCCCAGCGCTATGGCAAGCACTGGGGGCACGGGCAGGAGAACACGGGCAGGGACGTAGTCTGTTCTGCTGACCCCACCACTGTGTCTGTGGCGGGGCTGAGCACTTCACAGACTCAGCCACAGACATGGGGGCAGGGACAGCAGAATGCAGACTTCGTCCCTGCCTGCATTGTCCTCACCCTGACCCCAGTGCCTGCCACAGTGCTGGGGGAGGGAAACCAGCAGCAGGAGGGAAACCAGCAGCCGCAGCAGCCATCTCATGTACCCGATGCCCACACACCTGCATTGCTGGTGGGGGGGGAAGAGGTGGAGGGTGTGCCTGGGCTCTGGCAGCTGGTCTTTGTAGTTTCTTCCTTTTCTTTCCCTCCCCCCGGCTTTTTCTCGTTTTCTAGAGACCTACGAAATTCATGGCAGAAGTGGGGTGTGCGGCAGCACCTTAAATCTTGCAGGCTCCCCCATGCACCCCCTACCACTTAGTGGAGGGGCTATGCTTGCAGCTCACTCCTGGTCAGCAGGGAGGCGAAAACTGCAGTTTTAAACTTCATCATTTTGTCTCCCTGTCATAGATTGGCTGAGTTGGTGCTCGTTGCAGTGGGCCAGTCCGCAGGTGGGTGGGTATGGGAGACCTGGAGCCCTCTTGGGATAGGAGCCTGCACTGCATGGGGGGTTTGTGCTCCCTGGGGCAGCAAGGAGGGGTAGGGGGAGCCTGCTGGCCACGCTAGTAACCTCCTGGCCAGCATTAACCCTGCTAGGTTTCTATGCCAGAAGTGCTGGGGCAGCTGGCTTGGGTGCTCTGGGAGCAATGTAGCAGGCAGCCAGGCAGAGCCATGTGCACACTGGCTGCTGCTGCCCCTGCCCACACCCAGGGCCAACCACCAGGCAGAACACAGCCAAGCAGGGCATGGGCCCCCCTCCCAGCCCCTTCCACCCTCCAGCTCGTGCTGTGCACCACAGAGCCCAACTCCATGGCTTCCCCCTGCCTCAGCACTGCCAGCCTGAGGCTGCTTGCTAAACTGGGATAAAATCATGTAATAAGCCCCCTAAACCCTCCAGCAACTGCAGGTGTTTCCCTAATGAATCAGGGAAGCAAAAACTGCAGTTTTAAACATGGTGCCATTTTTGCCTTCCTGCCAGTCAGCTGCAAGCCCTTCCTGGGGCCCCTCAGCCAATCAGCGGTGGGGACACAACAATGGTCCCAAGTTTAAAACTGCAGTTTTTGCCTCTCTGCCAATCAGGAGTGATCTGCAAGCACAGCCCCTCGACCAATCAGTGGTGGGAGTAGGGCCACAGGGGGAACCTGTAAGATGAAGATGCAGCCAACTTTTGCCGTGAATTTCATAGTTCCTTATTTTTTCCCATTTTTTTTCCTCTCTCTCTCTTTTCCCCCTCTTTTTTCTTTTCTCTTCTCTCTCTTTTTCTCTTTTGTTTCCTTTTTTCTCTCTCTTCTCTCTCTCTCTCCTTCTCCCCTTTTTCTTTTTTTCTCTCCTCCTCTCCCTCTTTCTCTTTTCTTTCTTTCTTTTCCTCTCTCCTCTCCTTTTATCCTCTTCTCTTTTCTTTCCTTTTTCTCTTTTCTTTTGTTTTTTTCTCTTTCCC